AAAGTTTTAAGGGTTAATAAGAAGCCTGAGCTAATGGGCCAATCAGTTTATAGTTAATGTAGACCTCTGTGCGATTTCTTTGGGACTTAACGATTACGGGAACCTGGCAGGACAGAAACCTCAGACAAAAACAGCCCTTCCATCAACCAGCCCTTCTCTGATCTCCCTCAAAGGCATCAACCACTGCAGATGACTTCTGAAAGCTCCCAGAACTCTGCTGATTCTGGAAACTTCCATTACAGCCATTCCAGGAAGCTCAGCTCTACCCATATTTGAAACAGTATCTTTGGCTAGAGAAAAATACATCCCTTGTGCAAAAAATATAAAATAAAATCACTTCTGAGTGGTTTAAGGTAACTAGATGGTACAGTAGACTTTGCCTTTCTTCTTGTTCAAAGAATTCCAATAATCTGTCACGTATCTGTCCCATCTTCAACTGGCAACACTTGGATACATAACAGAAGGGTCACTAGGAGTTAGCACACATCCCAGCTCATATTGTTTTCCTAATCTGGGTCAAATACCCCCCCCACACACACACCATATGCCCTCATGTCCGCATCTATTTCCTCTTGAATCAGTTTCATCCTCATGTTCCCAGATGCAAAACCAAATGAATACTTTAAGATAGCTTTAAGAAGACTCTGGACTTGAGGCAGCAACTCCAGTATCCTCTATTTCTAATTTCACTTCACATATGCATATGTAAATAACTATTAAAATAGAAATACAGCCAAAAGATCAAGCTACAAACTTCATGGTAAGCAAGGCCCTGGCATGCAGTGGCCTTCAACATCTTCTCTAATGACCACTCACTGGAACTTCAGGACGCAACGTGATTGTGTAACACTGATGAGCTGGCAGACAAAGGGATGCTTACAAAGGAATCTTTGGTAGGCCAAGCCCTGAGTTGGAGGTCTTTCTCCCTGGCAGCAGCAGACATTTTCACTAACACCTAAAGAAGAATGCAAGCATCTGCAGGCAGTCACCACGCAGCTTCAGACGTCAACGTTACAGAAGGAACCCAGACCTGGATCCAGGCTCTATGTGAGTTCTTGCCAGGAAATGGTTCTCAGCTACTTTGTTTTAACACCTTTGCCCCTTTAACTCTCTAAAACCACAGTTAGGGAGGTAAAATACACCTATTCATGCCTCTGTGAATCTGCATGTGTTTGCAATTCTGGATTGGTATGTGAAAACAGACTTGGCTATTTATCTTCCAGTTGAGTGAATGGCCCATCTTACCAGATTGACTTTTCAACACTAAGCCGTTAGAAGATGCACACACAGAGACACACACACATACATAATGGATATAAGCACACAGAGACACACATATATAAATATACTGTCTCCCCACGCCCTCTCTAAGCACAGAAAACCCTCCAGCCACACTTCTCAGGAGACCTGAGACTTCTTGATCAACACTGGGTTGGTGGTCTGCCAACTCCCTGGCAATGTACACACTGACCTGGAAGTCTTAAGGCACATTTGAGGTATTCTCTGCCTTTTGCGTAGTGTCATGAATGTGACAGGAAAAGACAGTGCAGAGTTTCCTCCATCTTGTATTCTTATTGCAGTCATTAAACATTTAACTAGAATTTGATCTCCTTGATGGTGAGCTCCATGGAAAATTACCCAACTCTATTCTAGGAACCCAAGGTCAAGATACCCCAGCTACCTTAGCTTCTGTTAAACTGCCTGCTTGTGCAGGACTCCCTAGAGCTAACTGCTTATCTCAGTTTCTGCTAAACTGCTTGCTTGCATAAAACCTCCCCCTGCAGCTGCTAAGGAAATTACCAGGATGTGTTTTTTGCTTTTGAAAACCCCTTACCTTAAACATTTGGAGATACAGTTGGGTCCCAAATACCTAAGTGTAGTCACAGCCTGGAATAAAGATTTTCAATCGGCTATAAACTGTATCTGAGTCATTATCTCTAGTGAGCAACCTATAACAATGAATATGAGGATGAAGGAAATATCACTTGGAAAATATACTTGCTGGGTAGTGGTACTGGACACCTTTAATCCCAGCACTTGGGAGGCAAAGGTAGGTAGATCTCTGTCTGAGGCCAGCCTGGTCTACAAAAATGAGTTCCAGGACAGTCAGGACTGTTAAACAGAGAAACCTTGCCTTGAAAAACCATTTTATATATACACACATACACATATGTATATATACATATATATTAATATATACATATATGTTATAAGTATATACACATTATATATTATACACACTCAAATATGTATATACTAAAACAAAGGCAACAATCTAGAATGTATTGCTTATTTGGAGTCTCCTCCTACAAAACAGAATTCTCTTTGAACCTCTGGTCTTTGTGCTAATATAAAAATTTGCAAACCTACCCCAACGGTTATAATGCTACCATAGCATCTGTACATTTAAGTGACATTAACAATGTTGACGAGCCCAGGTCTGCTGCTTTGCAGCATGTGCCTTCTTTTGGACTTGTCTTACACTCTTCAGAATGGTGGTTTTTAATGTAAAAATATGACAACTGATGCCACTGGCATGTGGGATCGTAGCTAATTAGCATTTTAAGCCACACTGTCTTAGCATAAATACTAAACATTTACAGGCCTTCCGTTTCAAATTGTTGCCATCCTTTATTCTCCAGAGTATACTTAAAGTCGACGCTTATCTTTCTCATGCATTAACCTCTTTTCTCCAATATCAGGGATGCCCTCCATATTCTGCAAGGAAAGATATTAACAGACGATGCAAGCTCCAGGGTTCACACAGATGGTTCTGCATTAGATCTTGATAAATGCACAGGATTTTGCCAGAAAGAGAGGAAGGACCAGGAATTCATTAACTACTGGGACAGTAAGTATACTCAGGAAAGCATTCTCTAAATGCTCCACTACTAAGGGGTAATCTATTTAGTATTTAACACTAACATAGTAAATACTGTCAGAAGATAGTAATTCAGTCAGGAAGAGGTGACAAAGAATGAAAACAAGCAGGGAAGCATCAGCTAGAAAAGATCCAGACCATGGGGTAGTGGGGAGACACAAAGAAAGGGGAAATAGAGGTCAACTATACCAGCAGGAAGGCAGTTCAAGTACCCATGCTTCCATCAAATTGCCAGACATGTAAAGAACAGTATTTGATCTAATACGACTGGAGATCTGGATCAAAGGGTCAGAGTGCTTGCTCTGCGATCGTGGGCACCTGAGTTCAAATCTCCAGCACTCATGTAAAAAGCCAAGCATGTCTGTAGATGTCTGTAAACCCCAGCAAGTTCCAGTTCTGTGAAGCAAACTGTTTCGAAGCAATAACATGAAGAGGAACCAAACAAGACACAAAGTCCTACTCTGGCCTCCTTATGTAAACACAGCCAGCCCTAAGCACACACCACACAGCATGCACTGCCAACATGATGATTCCCCAAGAAAAACTATCAAAATGCATGTATGTTCTCAATGCATGTATGTTACTGAAACTACTCATGGCTAGCATTGGAAATTAAGGTTTCCAAGCCCCTTTCCTCTAGCTACTGTGCACAGAGCTGCTTGTGGCTCACAAGTGCTTCTTGGAGCCTCCTTCACCTTGTTTCCTCTTATTCCTGGGACACTAATCCCCAGAGCTCCAAGGTCAGCAAGATCAGGGGCTGCCACAGGCTCAAGGCCAAACAGAAACCCACCAGTCATAAAGACCATGGCTTCCACATCTGGAAAAGATGGCTTTAATAGAAAAAGTTCTAAAATAATGGATGTACATACATACTAACATATGTGATACATCAATAATACTCATATATTATATCTTTTGTTGAATTATATATAAAACCACTCTTCCGAAGTGTATCTCTCTATCCTCCTCCCTATTTATCAGCTTATTGGCTACATGGTTCTGACAAATCTGACAAACAAATTAGGTGGAATTTTAATGACTAATCTCCAACTCTTTACCAACCAATATAGGAAGGAAAATGTATCCACAGAAATGGCAGTTCTTCACAAAAGAATCCAGTTTCTTCAACTCGCTGATATCGTGCCTTCCCACCAGGACCCCCACAGCCTTCAAGCACAAAAGCCTCTTGTCACATCTAATTTTAACCAGTCATCATGATATAACTAAGAAACTTTAAAACAATCAGCAGGGCCTATGCAGGAGCCAGCCTAAATTCTTGACATTTTTCTCATTGTTTTCCTGCAAAAACACAGGCAGAGAAGGCGATAATCAAGGAAACAGTCAGCAAATCGTTAGCAGACCGTGTGTGTGTGTGTGTGTGTGTGTGTGTGTGTGTGTAGGAGCTCCTTCAAGAATTAAGATTTTGTTATCTTCCTGTTTTACATTTTTCCTTTTTTCTACAAAAGGGTAGGATCAGTTAAGTGGCTACTACTGATTGTCAAGAATTATAGAACACATAAAATATATGAATACTAGATCCTGCCTGATGTGACATGAACATGTGAATTCTACAGATCTCATGAGTGGGCTTGGAAGGGCTGGGATCATTCTTGCATGGTTCTCCAGGTAACAAACACTGGCTAGCCTTGGCATGAGTCCTCTTTGGAGAGCGTTGGTTTACAACTAGCCAGTGCTGGATTAACATTGGAAGAAGCACCTTGTTATGAAAGTGCTATTTCCTTTTGAAAGGCCTCCATTTCCCTCTTCTCCACTGAAAGGGGCCCGCAGTGAAGCACCAAGAAGAGGAAATGTAATTAAAATCACATTCCCTTCCTGGGCTCAACTAAATTATCAGCCTCTTACCCCAGAACAAATTTACCTCTTTAAGACTGAAGGACTGTATCCCTCTTGGGAAAAAATACAAACAATGATTAAAATGCCATCTGAACATGGTTGGAATTTTTCGTGCTCAAGGAACCTCTGAGTGGAATGAAGTCAATGTGTTCTCACTGATGCAGAATACACACTGCGGGAAAGAACTGTGATAAACGGCATTGCCGTGACCCTTAGGTTAGAGTGAAGGAATATTGGAAAATAAATCTCAATTGTGGATACTCACCAATCCTGCAATGGGGGTAGGCAATCTATTGATCTTTTTAACAAGTCCTGGCTTTATAGCATTCAGCAACCTGTCGTGAAAAAGGCAGAATGTCAAGTGAGACGTCAAACAAGATGGATCACACAAATCACCTGCATCCCGAGCTGTGGTTAAACCGCTGACTAGGAAAACCTGGGAATTTAAAGCAAGCCGTAAATCTCAATCATCCGTCAGCCTCCCCGGGTAAGAAACGAGCTCTGCCAACATGGAGTTTGTTGACAGCAGGTGGAGTCACAGAGTGGAAAGTTAGGAGAGGAGAAAGGAAAGATGCAGAGAGTGCTTCGTGGGAACAGACAAAGACGTGAGGGAGGCTGAGTCTAGGAGAGAACTGTCTGGAATCAGAGCCATGTACCGCAACCCAGGGTAAGGCAAGCTGCCAGTTCTGGCTCAGGCAATGATGTCTCTGGGGATGGGCTAGGTTCAGAGACCAACACAGATCTTTGCAGATGATCTGCCAAGACAAATTTTGTCTCCAGACCCTATTTTGTACTTTGAGGAGAGCAGCTAGCTAGATGTGGCGGAGCTTCATTTAAAAATGGAAGAGTGGACTTTCTAAGAGGGTAACCAATCCCGTCCTGAAGATCCGAAACAAGGTTGACCACCATTCCCTAAGTACTAAAAAAGAATCACTTAAGCGAAAGAGTTTTCAGGGAGAGCTTAAACACATGTGAAAATGGAAGTGCCAGAGTAACTGAGCCGTGGTCCGTACATAAACAGTGTGAAGAACAGAAGAATGGCAAGCAAGCCGTAAAACGAGAACATGGCTAGCGTCAGAGAGAAGGTAGAATGCAGCGTTTGCTCCACTCTAGTAGGATGCTCATAAACACTAGCTAGCTGGAAGTAAGGGATTGTAGAAAGGAAGTACTTACTTAAGACTTAGACAGCTAGAGGATTTACCTCAGAATACTATGTAAAGAGAAATTTCAAGTTTACTAAAACTCAAGGGTCCACAAACCGCAAAGCCACGGGCCGAGGGTATCCAGCACCTGTTTTGCAAATGAAGTTTTACTGGCACACAGCCGCAGCCAAGCCCGCTTGTGAAGATTAGTGTGCAGCTCCTCTTGTCTACAGCCTCAGTGTTCAGTGAGCAGTGAGAGAAGACATGGCCTACAAAGTGGGTGATGTCCCCTCTGTGGCCCTTTATAGGAAAGGTTTGCCGACTTCTGCTCTCCGCCCTGCAATCTAAGACCCCAGTAAAGGCTCCAGGCCCCGCTGAGAGATTCCACAGGTCACTAACAGATTCTCAGACACTCCACATGGATGGAGACAGCACAGCAATGGGAAAGGACGCTCTGCTTCTGTACCGAAGCTCAGCGGCAGGTCTCTGGACATGTCATTCATTACAAGGCACACACACTGCTCCAACACGTAATGGTCAGAGCAGGCATGGGACACTTAGTTCACAGAGGCCAAGGTGGCTACTCTTTTCCATTAACCAGGTTGGTTTAGCCATGTCTTTAACCCTTTTTGGAAAAGTACTTCTATAAAACCTATGCTTGGGTTGTTGGCGTTTTGAGTTAGAGGTAACTTCCCATTTTACTGCATAGAAAGCTGAGGTCTGGTATGGCTGAGTCACTTCCCCAGAGATGCTCAGAGGTCCCGTTAGGCCCAGTACCCACGTGACCTAGGTCAGTATGTTCTCTTAGATGGTATTAAAATTCCCTGTCCTTTGGCTTAAAATACACAGAAGATTTCAAAAGGAAAAAAAAAAGGACAGAATTTTTAAAATTAATTTGTTTTAATTAATTTTCATACAATATATTTTGATCTTATCTTTCCAGTCCCTCATCTCCTCCCAGAACCTTCTCAGTTCCCTATCCATTGAACATTATGTTTTCTCTCTCTCTCTCTCTCTCTCCCTCCCTCCCTCCCTCCCTCTCTCTCAAAAAAGCAAAAACCTGCACAGAAACACAAAAACAAAAAATCAAAACAAACAAGCAAAATACCAATAAGATAAAAAATATCAAAACAAAAGAAAAAGTCTATAAAAGGGGAGGGTGTGTGAGTGTTGGCCAATTACTCCTGGGTGTGGGGACTTCTTTGGACTGTGATTGATGTAACTAGTAACACTCCATTGGAGAAAACTGATTTTCTCTTAGCCAGCAGGTATCAACTTCAAACAGCTTCTTAGTTAGGGGTGGGGCTCCAAGACCACCTTCTCTTGTTAGTGCTGGGATCCCCTCTGACTTGAACCTATACAGGTCCTGGGCATCTGTGAGTTCATCTGTGCATTGGTCGTGTTGTGTCTGGAGGAGGCTGTTTCCTTGGTGATATCCATTACCCTGGCTCTGCCAGTTTTTCCTTCTGCTCTTCTCCATAGACCCCTAAGACTTGAAGGAAGGAGTCTGATGAAGACGTCCCATTTAGGTTGAGCAATCCCATGTCTCTCACTCACTGTACAACTGAATGGATGGAATTCTTAGCATGTATTCTTTTTCCTGGTAGCTCCTCATCATGTAATTTAAAATAGAACTATAAAACATCTGTGTACAGTCTTGACAATTCAAACTAAAACAAAGGGATATATAGCAAAGTGTAAATCGCTTGCTGTTCCCTATGCTCCCATGGGGCCACAGTCTAGTTCCTAAAGACAATGTGAAGAATTGCCAACGAAAAAAACTTAAGTACACATAATTCTTGGTTTTGGTTTTTGTTGTTGTTGTTGTTTTTCGACACACAATTTCTCTGTGTAACAGCCCTGGCTGTCCTGGAACTAGCTCTTGTAGATCAGGCTGGCCTTGAACTCACAGAGATCGCCTATCTCTGCCTCCTGAGTATTGAACTAAGGGTGTGTGCACCACCACCACCAGGCAAGTACACATAATTTTTAAAAGGGCAAGCATACCATACCACACCATACCATACCATACCACACCACACCACACCGTAATGCACTGTCCTGCTCATTGTCTTAGTGAAGCAGCCATCCCTCAGTACCCACAGGGGATTGTTTCCAGGTTCCCTTTTAGTGCCAAATCTCCAGGTTCTCTAGTCCTTTCTATAAAATGGTGTCGTTTCTGCATTCTATGAACACAGAGGAGTGACTGTCTGTCCTGAAGGTTGGACAATCTCCCTTGGAGAGCATGTCTTACCGATGCATATGGAAGCTATGTCCTTACTTATAGCCACAGAGGATACTGGAGAACTGATGGGAAAGCATTCATTCTGGGGACTGCCTGAATCCAACACCCAGCTGAGTCCCTTTCTAGTGGTGGTCCAGACATGGCTGTTAGCCTGTTTTATCAACTGTAATGCAGGTTCAAGAGCGGCTTTAAAGAGATGAGGTTTGGAGAAGCTAGCAGAGTTCAGCCCATACACTCTCTATGAATACTTCCCCACGTTTTTGTGTAAGTTTTTTTGCCATTGTAAATGGACTGAGAGAATTTTTGATACATCATTTGTTTAAATAATTTTAGATGTTAAAAACCAAATGACATAGCATTGCTAATAGGTTTTAAGATATATTGCTAACTGATGAAAGTAGAAAAAAAAACCCAACTCTCCTCCATAATGTATTGGCTAAAAATTCTTTTCAAAGGGCATCCTTTGTCTTCTGCATCCAAGGGACTCATTGATATTGTAGTAATGATGGCTCTACTCACCCATCTTTTATAAACTCATCATTACATTCATCCTTCATAGACTGTTCTGATGACAGACACTTCCCTATCCCATGAAGATGTCAAGAAAGTAAAGAAACAAAGCAAACCATAACACGGTACTTTACTGAAAGGGGTGGTGGAAAACTACAACCACTCTCAAAACGTTTCACTAAAAACCAAGAAAACAGAAGGACACACTGTTCTCTCACATTGAGGACATTTTCAGGACTGCACAGCTGTGTTTTCCCATGTAAACAGTCTCTTGGCTCTGTACGGAATTTACAGTATACAACAACAAAAGTAACATCAAATTCACATTACCCAGAACCTGGATTTTATCTTGTATTTTGCCTTAAACTGAGGAAAAGTTTGTTTACTAAGAAACAAAAAGACAAGCAGCAACAACTATGAGGAAGAATATTCATCTAATATTTAACTTAAAGCCAAAATTGCTTCCCATCCATGTAAATTTATGGATGACAGGTTGTTCAGTGATGAGCATGGTGATATTTTATATTTATGTCCCTTCTGAGGTGCATTATTACCCAAAATCCTTGTTCTAAAGAAGTTATATGTATGCTCCACCACATCTGTAAAATGAAAAACTAAGTACCAATCAGACAGCCCAAGATACACACAGCTGGTAATATAACCAGGTCAACCCTTACCTTTTGGGTGGTTATTTATGCTACAGGTTGCTGTTTTAGAAATACCAGCTTAAAGCTGGAGAGATGGCTTGATGGTTAAGAGGACCGACTGCTCTTTCAGAGAACCTGAGCTCAATTCCCAGCATCTACAAGGTAGCGCATGACTATCTGTAACTCCAGTGCCAGAGGATCTGACACCCCCACACAGACATATATACAGGCAAAATGCCAGTGTACATAAATAAATTAAAAAAGAATGCTTTCCAAGAGAGCTACAGCAAAAGGGAAGGAAAGGGAAGAAGAGGGGAGAGGAAGAGCAAGGAGTAGAGGGGAAGGGACAGAAAGGGAGAAGAAAGGATGAAAGGAAGGAAGGAGAGAGGAGTAAAGAGAAGAGAGGAAGGGGAGGAGGAGGAGGAGGAAGAGGAGGAGGAGGAGGAGGAGGAGAGAGAGAGAGAGAGAGAGAGAGAGAGAGAGAGAGAGAGCAGCTTCAAAGCACAACAAAGAACAGTGTCAAAATATCATGGGGTAAAGGCCAGCCACAGTGGCACATGCCTTTAATCCCAGCACATACATATAGTGGTAACATCTGTAAGAAAGAACAGAACTAGAAGCAACTATCTATTAAGGAGATGGAACATGGAAGACATGTCATATTCTTGCTCAGTCTATGGATGGTCTACAACATCATGAGCAGGAATTCCAGACATGGCAAAATGTCTTTTCTCCAGGAATACTGTACTATTGTCCTGCCTCTGGGGTATCCTTTCCAAAGCCTTTAGCTA